GAAGGTCTTGTCTTTCATAAATATGCGGACAAAAATATTTGTTGTTCCTGAAAATATGATCAACAGTGTAATACGATTTTATCATGATAAAATGGGGCACGTCGAGATAGATAAATCTATACATGTCCTTTTAAGTCACTACTGGTTCTTCTCTTAAATTACCCGTAAAACAATATATCAAAAAACTGCGTTAAATACTTAAACTTTCTATTGGTCGGAGGAAAAATCCGAAGGTGAATTAGAAATCTATGAAAAAATAGCCTTACTCCTCTATACATTTCATACTGACCATTTCGAGCCACTAGAAGCTAATCGCTAATGGCTATAAATACATTTTAGTTGTCGTGGATGCATTTACTAAATTTACTTTTGGCTTTTCCGACTAAATTCGCTACAACCGAAGAAGTCATAAAATGTTTAAATATTTTTCGGTTTATTTGGATTTCGAACGAATCATTAGCGATTATGGAACAGCCTTTTCTTCAAAAAACTTTCACTCTTTTTTTAAACGAATGAAAAATAAAGCATGTCCGTTGTCGCTTCACCTTGGGCTAATGGTCAAGTTGAAAAAAATCGTTTTCTAAAATCAGCTCGTGGAACTCAAGCTATAATACCGAAAATTGGAAAAACATATTAAGCAGTGTACAACTTGTTATTAACAATACATTGCATAAATCAATCAATACTACGGCGAGTAAAATACCGTTAGGCTATGATCAGCGTCAAAAATCAGATAATGAACTTAGAGAATTAATTGATTGATTAGCGCAGTTAAATAAAGATATTGAACGAGAACGAATAGAGTTACGTGATGCAGTGCAAATTGTAAATCGAGTCGTTCAGGAATATAATAAATAATAAGAAAACCCATGTGATATAAAGAAGGAAATACAATTATCATAGTTAAATCATTTTGATGTTATTATTCTGATATTTTGCATTATTTGTGCTTAAGTTCAGCAAATACCGATTTATATTATCTAGAGTATAATTTTTCTCTACTTGTGTGTGTGCATCTCTAAATTTCCGAGATATTTTACAGTTTCAAGTTAAAAAACTCACCCTGTATAATTGTGTAGGCGCAATTCATTTATGCGAATATTAAGTTTCAGTACGTGACGTTAGATAGCAGCGTCTGCCATTTAATTAAAATATAGATGTTACATGTCTATAGACATACAATTTTTAAAATATTTATTTTATTGGTATATAAGTAATTAATTTGTCGTTTGATAGGGATTCAATGTAGTTGATAATGGTTCAATAGTTGTTCAATAGGAGAAGCCTTCACTTGCGCACAGTACAATTGGACACGTTGCAATTGCACACTGTGTTATAAGACGCTTAAAGTTGAGCACCGTTCGATTGGACACATTTCAATTGCGCACAGTTCGTTTGGACACATTTCATTTGCGCACCGTTCAATTGGACACCGTTGCTTTTGGACACAACACATATTTTGTATAATCTGGAATACATACACACACATATATGCATGTATAATTTTGAAATTTTTTGACATTTATTATTAACTTCATTTTGTAAATAAACGTCTGTTACAGTTCGTTTACACACAGTTCGTTTGCACACAGTTC